CCTACCGAAACCAAAGATGTATACACATCAAAAATATTTTTAATAAAATATTTTATATATATTACATTTTTAATAAAATATTCAGTTAATATATAATTAAATGGCATAATATATGTTGCAGAAAAAAGTGACCACGGTGGCACAGAGAAGAAGTTTAACTTTTCCTCGAGTTGTGTGAATAACAAGCACAACCAATTTGACAGCTAACGAGCTTTGATTGAGATTATATTTATATGTAAACGTACTTTTATGCTTTGCCGTTCGCATATGTTTACACATCAAATTTCATGAGTACCTAGTACTCACGCCTTTTTTTTAAATAAAATTTTGCCCCTTGTTTTTGTTTATAACTTTTTTACTATTGATCGGACAAAAAGGTTTATAAGGGTTTTGGTTAGAATTCGCGAGGAGCTACTCAGAATTCTCAACAGAACTCTGAAAAAACAACTACAATTTTTTTGTCAATAAAAATGTGTTCCTTGTTTATGCTTATATCTTTTATCTATTGGTCGGAAAAAACTTTACAAGAGTTCTAGTTAGAACTCTCGAGGGGCTACTCATAACTCTCAACAGAAGTCTGAAAAAACAAATGAAATTTTTTTATTAAAAAAAATTTGCCGCTTGTTTATGCTTATAGCTTTTATCTATTGGTCGGAAAAAAAACTTTATGAGAGCTTAAGTTAGAACTCTCGAGGGGCTACTCAGAACTCCCAACGTAACTCTGAAAAAAACAAATTAAATTTTTTGTTAATAAAATTTTGCCCCTTGTTTTTGCTTATAACTTCTTTACTATTGGTCGGACAAAAAAACTTTATAAGAGTTTTGGTTAGAACTCTCAAGGGCCTACTCGGAATTTTCAACAGAGCTCTGAAAAACAAATGAAATTTTTTTGTTAATAAAATTTTGCCCCTTGTTTTTGCTTATAACTTCTTTACTATTGGTCGGACAAAAAAACTTTATAAGAGTTTTGGTTAGAACTCTCAAGGGCCTACTCGGAATTTTCAACAGAGCTCTGAAAAACAAATGAAATTTTTTTGTTAATAAAATTTTGCCCCTTGTTTTTGCTTATAACTTTTTTACTGCAGGTCGGAAAAAAACTTCATAAGAGTTTTAATTAGAACTCTCGAGGGGCTACTCAGAACTCTTAACAGAACTCGGAAAAACAAATGAAATTACTTTGTTAATAAAAACTTACCCTTTGTTTTTGTTTATAACTTTTTTACTATTGGTTGAAAAAAAAAAAAACTTTATAAGAGTTTTAGCTAGAACTCTCGAGGGGCTACTCAGAACCCTCAACAGAACTCTGAAAAAACAAATGAAATTACTTTGTTAATAAAAACTTACCCTTTGTTTTTGTTTATAACTTTTTTACTATTGGTTAAAAAAAAAAACTTTATAAGAGTTTTTTTAAGAACTCTCAGGGGGCTACTCAGAACCCTCAACAGAACTCTGAAAAAACAAATGAAATTTTTTTGTTAATAAAAATTTGCCCCATGTTTTTGCTTATAACCTTTTTACTATTGGTCGGGCAAAAAACTTTATAAGAGTTTTAGTTAGAACTCTCGAGGGGCTACTCAGAGCTCTCAACAGAACTCCGAAAAAACAAATGGAATTTGTTGTTAATAAAATTGTGCCCCTTGTTTTTGCTTAACCTTTTTAACTGGTGGTCGGACGAAAAAACTTTACAAGAGTTTTAGTTAGAACTCTCGAGGGGCTACTCAGAGCTCTCAACAGAACTCCGAAAAAACAAATGGAATTTGTTGTTAATAAAATTGTGCCCCTTGTTTTTGCTTAACCTTTTTAACTGGTGGTCGGACGAAAAAACTTTACAAGAGTTTTAGTTAGAACTCTCGAGGGGCTACTCAGAGCTCTCAACAGAACTCCGAAAAAACAAATGGAATTTGTTGTTAATAAAATTGTGCCCCTTGTTTTTGCTTAACCTTTTTAACTGGTGGTCGGACGAAAAAACTTTACAAGAGTTTTAGTTAGAACTCTCGAGGGGCTACTCAGAGCTCTCAACAGAACTCCGAAAAAACAAATGGAATTTGTTGTTAATAAAATTGTGCCCCTTGTTTTTGCTTAACCTTTTTAACTGGTGGTCGGACGAAAAAACTTTACAAGAGTTTTAGTTAGAACTCTCGAGGGGCTACTCATAACTCTCAACAGAGCTGTGAAAAACAAATAAGATTTTTGTTGTTAATAAAAATTTGCCCATTGTTTTTGCTTATAACTTCTTTACTATTGGTCGGACAAAAAAACTTTATAAGAGTTTTGGTTAGAACTCTCAAGGGGCTAATCAGAATTTTCGACAGAGCTCTGAAAAACAAATGAAATTTTTTTGTCAATAAAATTTTGCCACTTGTTTTTGCTTATAACTTTTTGCTGTCGGACGAAAAAACTTTACAAGAGTTTTAGGTAGCACTCTCGAGGGGCTACTTAGAACTCTCCACAGAACTCTGAAAAAACCAATTACATTTTTTTGTTAATACAAATTTGCCCCTTCTTTATGCTTATAACTTTTTTGCTATTGGTCGGAAAAAAACTTTATACGAGTTTTAATTAGAACTCTCAGGGCGCTACTCAGAACTCTAAACAGAATTCTGAAAAACAAATGAAATTTGTTTGTTAATAAAAATTTGGCCCTTGTTTTTGGTTATAACTTCTTTACTATTAGTCGGGCGAAAAACTTTATAAGAGTTTCAGCTAGAACTCTCGAGGGGCTACTCAGAACTCTCAATATAACTCTGAAAAAACAAATGAAACTTTTTTGTTAATAAAAATTTGCCCCTTGTTTATGCTTATTACTTTTTACTATTGGTCGGAAAAAAAACTTTATAAGAGTTTTGGTTAGAACTCTCAGGGGACTACTCAGAACTCTCAACAGAACTCTGAAAAACAAATGAAATTTTTTTGTTATTAAAAATTTGCCCCTTGTTTTTGGTTATAACTTTTTTACTATTGGTCGGACAAAAAGCTTTATAAGAGTTCTTGTTAGCACTCTCGAGTCTTCTCAGAACTCTCAACGTAACTCTGAAAAAACAAATTAGATTTTTTGTTAATAAAATTTTTCCTCTTCTTTATGCTTATAACTATTTTCTATTGGTCGAAAAAAAAACTTTAGTTAGAACTCTCGAGGGGGTACTCAGAACTCTCAACAGACCTCTGAAAAAAAATTAAATTTTTTTGTTAATAAAAATTTGCCCCTTGTTTTTGCTTATACATTTTTTACTATTGGTCGGACAAAAAGCTTTATAAGAGTTTTGATTAGAACTCTCAGGGGTTACTCAGAAGTCTCAACAGAACCCTGAAAAACAAACGAAATTTTTTGTTAATAAAAATTTGCCCCTTGTTTTTGCTTATAACTTCTTTACTATTGGTCGGACAAAAAACTTTATAAGAATTTTGGTTAGAGCTCTCAGGGGGCTACTCAGAATTTTCAACAGAGCTCTGAAAAACAAATGACATTTTTTTGTTAATAAAATTTTGCCCCTTGTTTTTGCTTATAAATTTTTACTAACGGTCGGAAAAAAACTTTACAAGAGTTTTAGTAAGAACTCCCGAGGAGCTACCCAGAACTCTCAGCAGAACTCCGAAAAAGCAAATGAAATTTTTTGTTAANTTGCCCCTTGTTTTTGCTTATAACTTCTTTACTATTGGTCGGACAAAAAACTTTATAAGAATTTTGGTTAGAGCTCTCAGGGGGCTACTCAGAATTTTCAACAGAGCTCTGAAAAACAAATGACATTTTTTTGTTAATAAAATTTTGCCCCTTGTTTTTGCTTATAAATTTTTACTAACGGTCGGAAAAAAACTTTACAAGAGTTTTAGTAAGAACTCCCGAGGAGCTACCCAGAACTCTCAGCAGAACTCCGAAAAAGCAAATGAAATTTTTTGTTAATAAAATTTTGCCCCTTGTTTTTGTTTATAACTTTTTTACTATTGGTCGGGCAAAAAGGTGTTTTAGTTAGAATTCTCTAGGCGCTACTGAAAACTCTCAACATAACTCTGAAAAAAACAAATTATATTTTTTGTTAATAAAATTTTGCCCCTTGTGTTTGCTTATAACTTCTTTACTATTGGTCGGACAAAAAAACTTTATAAGAGTTTTGGTTGGAACTCTCAAGGGGCTACTAGGAATTTTCAACAGAGCTCTGAAAAACAAATGAAATTTTTTTGTTAATAAAATTTTGCCCCTTCTTTTTGCTTATAACTTCGTTACTATTAGTCGGACGAAAAAAATTTATAAGAGTTTTGGTTAGAACTCTCAGGGGGCCACTCAGAGTTTTCTACAGAGCTCTGAAAAACAAATGAATTTTTTTTGTTAATAAAAATTTACCCCTTGTTTTTGCTTATAACTTTTTTACTATTGGTCGGGCAAAAACTTTATAAGAGTTTTAGTTAGAACTCTCGAGGGGCTACTCAGAACTCTCAACAGAACTCCGGAAAAGCAAATAAAATTTTTTGTTAATAAAATTTTGCCCCTTGTTTTTGCTTATAACTTTTTTACTATTGGTCGGAAAAAAAGCGTTATAAAAGTTTTGGTTAGAACTCTCGAGGGGCTACTCAGAACTCTCAACAGAACTCTGAAAAACAAATGAAATTTTTTTGTTAATAAATTTTGCCCTTTGTTTTTGCTTATAACTTTTTTACTATTTTTCGGAAAAAAAACCTTATTAGAGTTTTAGTTAGAACTCGAGAGGGGCTACTCAGAACTTTTCCATTGTTTTGTTTATAACTTTTTTACTATTGGTCGGACAAAAAAACTTTATAAGAGTTTTGGTTGAAAAAAAAACAAATACAATTTTTTTTATTAAAAATTTGCGACTGGTTTTTGCTTAAACCTTTTTTGCTCTTGGTCAGAAAAAAAACTTTATAAGAGTTTTGGTTGAAAAAAACAAATACAATTTTTTTTTTATAAAAATTTGCTCCTGGTTTTTGCTTAAACCTTTTTTGCTATTGGTCGGGAAAAAACTGTATAAGAGTTTTGGTTAGAACTTTTAGGGGGCTACTCAGAACTCTCAACAGAACTCTGAAAAAAATGAAATTTTTTTGTTAATAAAAATTTGCCTCTTGTTTTTGCTTATAACAATTCTACTACTCAGAACTCTCAACACAACTCTAAAAACAAATGACGTTTTTTTGTTAATAAAATGTTGCCCCTTGTTTTTGCTTCCAACTTTTTTCCTATTGATCGGACAAACAAACTTTTTAACAGTTTTAGTAAGAACTCTCGAGGGGCTACTCAGAACTCTCAACAGAACTATGAAAAAAATTAAATCTTTTTGTTAATAAAAATTTGCCTCTTGTTTTTGCTTATAACTTTTTTACTACTCAGAACTCTCAACAGAACTATGAAAAAAATGAAATTTTTTTGTTAATAAAATTTGTCCTCTTCTTTATGCTTATAACTTTTTCTATTGGTCAGAAAAAAAACTTTATGAGAGTTTTAGTCAGAACTCTCGAGGGGTTACTCAGACTCGAGCTCTCAACGTAACTCTGAAAAACAAATGAAGTTTTTTTGTTAATAAATTTTTGCCCAGGTTTTTGCTTATAAGTTCTTTACTATTGGTCGGACAAAAAAACTTTATAAGAGTTTTAGGTAGAACTCTCGAGTGGCTACTCAGAACTCTCAACAGAACTCTGAAAAATACAAACTAAATTCTTTTGTCAATACAAATTTTAAGCTTGTTTTTGCTTACAACTATTTTACTATTGGTCGGACAAAACAACTTCACAAGAGTTTCAATTAGAACACTCGAGGGGCTATTCAGAACTCTTAATAGAACTCTGAAAAAAATTAAATGTAATTATTTTGTTAATAAAACTTTGCCCCTTTTTTTTGCTCATAACTTTTTTACTATGGGTCGGACGAAAAGCTTTATAAGAGTTTTAGTTAAAACTCTAGAGGGGCTACAAAGAACTCTCAACAGAACTCTGAAAAACAAATGAAATTATTTTGTTAACAAAAATTTGCCCCTTGTTTTTGCTTATAACTTCTTTACTATTGGCCGGACACAAAAACTTAATGTGTTTTAGTTAGAACTCTGGAGTGATCACTCAGAATTCTCAACAGAACTCTGGGAAAAAACAAATTAAGTTTGTTTGTCAATAAAAAATAAAAATTTGCCACATGTTTTTGCTTATAACTTTTTTACTATTGGTCGGACAAAAACACTGTTTAAGAGTTTTAGTTAGAATTCTGGAGGGGCAACTCTGAACTCTCAACAGAACTCTGAAAAATATATATTAAATTTTTTGTCAATAAAAATTTGCCGCTTGTTTTTGCTTACAACTTTTTACTATTGATCGGAAAAAAACTTTATAAGAGTTTCAGTTAGAACTCTCGAGGGGCCACTCAGAACTTTGAAAAAACAAATGAAACTTTTTTGTAAATAAAAATTTGCGCCTTGTTTTTGCTTACAACGTTTTTACTATTGGTCGGACAAATAAACTTTATAAGAGTTTTAGTTAGAACTCTTGAGGGGCTACTCATAACTCTCAACAGAACTCTGAAAAAACAAATTAATTTTGTTTTGTTAATAAAAAATTTGCGCCTTGGTTTTTGCTTAAAACTTCTTTACTATTGGTCGGACAAAAAAAATTTAAGAATTTTAGATGGAACCCTGAAAAAAAAAGAAATTTTTTTGTTAATAAAAATTTGCCCCATGTTCTTGCTTACATCTTTACACGAGTTTCAATTAGAACTCTCGAGAGGCCGCTCAGAACTCTCAACAGAACTCTGAAAAAAACAAACTAAATTCTTTTGTTAATAAAAATTTTCCCCATGTTTTTGCTTATAACTTTTTTACTAAATATTCATCGGACAAAAAACCTTATAAGAGTTTTAGTTAGAACTCTCGAGGGGCTACTCAGAACTTTTAACAGAACTCTGAAAAAAACAAATTAAATTTTGTTGTTAATAAAAATTTGCCCCTTGTTTTTGCTTATAAATGTCTTACTATTGGTCGGACAAAAAACTTTATAAGAGTTTTAGTTAGAACTCTCAGGGGGCCACACAGAACTCTCAACAGAACTCTGAAACACAAATGACATTTTTTTGTTAATAAAAATTTGACCCTTGCTTTTGCTTACAACTTTTTTACTATTGGTCGGACAAAAAAACTTTATAGGGATTTTAGTTAGAGCTCTAGAGGGGCTACTTAGAACTCTCAACATAACTCTGAAGAAACAAATGAAATTTTTTTGTTAATAGAATTTTGCCCCTTTTTTCCCTTCCAACTTTTTTACTATTGATTGGACAAACAAACTTTTTAACAGTTTTAGTTAGAACGCTCGAGGGGCTACTCAGAACTCTCAACAGAACACTGAAAAACCAATGCAATTTTTTGTTAGTAAAAATTTGCCCTTTGTTTTTGCTTATAACATTTTTACTATTGATCGGACAAAAACACTTTTTAAGAGTATTAGTTAGAACTCTCGAGGGGCTACTTAGAACTCTCAGCAGAACTCTGAAAACACAAATGAAATTTTTTTGTATATAAAATGTTGGCCCTTTTTGTGCTTCCAACTTTTTACTATTGGTCGAACAAACAAACTTTTTAACAGTTTTATTTAGAACGCTCTAGGGGCTACTCAGAACACTCAACAGAACTCCGAAAGAACAAATGAATTTGTTTTTGGTGCTTACAACTTGTTACTATTGGTAGGACAAAAAAAAAAAATAAGTTTTTTGCTAGAACTCTCGAGGGGATACTCAGAACTCTCAACAGAACTCTGAAAAAAAAACAAATAAAATTTTTTTGCTAACTATTAGTTAATCAAAAATGGTCTGAAAAGTTTGTTCATATTCAAAACCATAATTTCAATTATGCAAATATATTAAAAATATCCGAATTTTTGTATGTCTTGTTGGTTCGAATGCACCAACTGCACGAATTTTTTCATTAATCAATAATTTTTGGGCCAGTGAGAAAGCTTAACTAACAATTGAGACTATTTAAGCATCTGTGCTTAGTAAATGTGTCTTAGGTTTAAGATGTTCAGAATTCTACGACTTTTTAAAAATTATCGACTTATTGAAAAAAACAAGTATAAAAGCAAAATATGTACCTTGAATTATTTAATTTTGTTAACTAAGATTTTTTTGTATATCGTAATGATATATGTATATCTTTATTGAATTTAATAAAATACAAAAAATACGTATGAAAGCTTGTCCTTTATTTTTACTTCAAAAATATGGTCACTGACCTATACTCCACTCTTATAAAACCAATCTGGACCTACGGAATTCACTCTACCAAAGAAATACTTCAAAGATTGAAATCGAAAACTCTCAAAAGTATTATTCCACAAACGAGCAACTTCAAGTGATCTTCAAGTTCTAACCATTGCAGAAGCAATCAAAAAGCATGTTGTCTCTTAGATTCTAAGACGGCAAACCCACCCTAATCCATTTAAAACAGAAATGACATCCTGCCGAAATGTTTTCATCCCGCGTAAAAGAAAATCCATAAAAGATCGTCTTCGTTCAGTATACAAGTTGATTGGTGCTCACTCCATTCATGTATGTAGGGACACGGTATCGAACCGAAAGTATCTGGCGAAGTTGGTGTCCTTGTCGCGGGGCCAGATCTTAAGTGGTGACATGGGGGCTCTGAGGGGCTTCCATGCCAGCATGAACTAACAGGGATGTTCCGCATGGGAACCTGTGTAGGACATGTGCTTATACAGATTCCTATGTGGAGATTACCGTACCAACAAACCCAGGGGGGTTCCGCATTGCGGGGCTACGGGTGTCACAATCCCGGGTACCCCAGTCAAAGGCTTCCAATTCTGAGTCGGTCGGAGGCTCAATTGGCAGAAGAGTCTTCGGCTTTCGAAAGTCATACCAAAGACTTTAAAAAAGGTACCGCGGGCGAACAGATGCCCCTGGAGTATGTTCGTTGGCTAGATAAGCAAAGCCAGTGAGACGAACAAGGCCAAAAGACAGGCCGGATGCACATGTGAGATCGTACAGCTGGTTAGATTTACAAAATGTGGCTCGTCAAGCAACTCGAGCGGGTGTAGAAAACCGGAAAAGGAGCAAATATCCATGCCTTTTGTGCACCCGGGCTGGAAAGTGCTCCCCAGTAAGGCTAGTAAGACCTGCGAGATTAGTGAGACGAGCAGTGTGAATGAGGTAAGTCAAGCGACTCGAACAAGGGTTAGGGTCGATTTTCACTCCGGGAGGGACAGCTCGGGGTGGAATGAGATTATCAAGTCTTGTGAGATGAGCGCGACATGTAGCATGAATGAATGGAGGTTGTTTATGGGTAGCAATAAGGTGGTTTGATAACGGTGGAAAAGCAAATCTGACTAGTTGTGGGGTCAAGCATGTGTATTCTGGTATGTTTAGTAGGTTGCGTGACTCGAGCTGGTCAAGCAAGTCTGGCTGGCGAGCACTACTCCAGTCTGTTCAGTGAGGTACGGCTCTTCGGGGAGTATCGCGGGTTTAATACCCGAATGCGGGAGAACTCGCAAGGGTTCGATGTGGAGTTGCATTGCAACCGGGTGCCGGAACCCAAAGAACGGCAGAGCCTTTAGGTAGGTTTCGGAATCACCAAAGTGGTAAGTGTGTCCTCCCACACTGCCTTTGGTGCTGAAATGCTTGCGTAGGCAAGGCATAAATTAAACCGTTAAGCTTTTGAGCTTCATGGAGCTCGGACTGCATTAAATTGCGGTAGGTTCCCACGTTAAACCAAAAATATAGATCGAACCGAAAGCCTCGATATAGTACTAATTTCAAGTATCGCTGTAAAAATATCGGGTACCCATTTATATCGTAATAAAAACACTCGATGTTCCAAAATATCGATACAAAATTCAAAAAATTAAATCTGAATATTGGTATAACTTTCTATTAAAGAATTAGCACTTTGAAATTTAATAAGTGCGTCACTGAAGGCGCGCCACACTCCAACCTAAGATTGTACACATTTCTGCCCTACAACGTGCAAAATATATCTATATTGCTTTACACATAAATTCCAAAGTAAGTAAGGTTATAGTACGATATAGATTTACAAGAAATGGAACCCTAGCAAAGGCTAAAATTCATGTTTTGTTTGCGTTAAATATTTGTTAAAGAACAATATTAACAACAAAACTTTCAATAGAAATTTCAGTAAGGTAAAGAGGACAGATTTTAACATTTTGGGATTTGGAAAATTAACTTTATATATTTAAAATATTACTACAAAAAGTTTTATACAAATAGTCTTGCCCAATTCCCAGAGTTTTGAATTTTGACGTTTTCAATTTATTTTCTACCATTTTGTCATACAAATGTATCATTATTCATATACTACGTTTATGCGTAGGCTAATTCACGAATTCATTTCATGAATTTGGGTTAAAATTGGCTGCATAAACACCATTTCATGAATTCAGTTATACACGAAAGTTAACCATGAATTCGGCATCATTTCATGAAATCGTCAAGTGCAAGTCCGCCAACGCCACTTTATACAAACAGCTTTTTACTAGGGTTATGATGTTTTTCGATTAAAAAGCTTGAGTGGCATAACCAGGATTTAAAACACTGGAAATATAAAATAAATTCAAATAGAATAAACTGAAAATATATTATAACTAATTTAGATATAATATGGTTCATTGCCTAGTACCAACGACTTTTGCAAATTCAAAAGGAGGCCAAAAAAGTCACAACCGTACTATTTAGTTTCTCGCCAGTGCATTGCCACTTTTTCAAGGCACTTTATTTCATGAATTCGCGAATTATACATAAACGGGACCATTTTTGAATTCATGAAATGAATTCATGAATTCTGTCGCATAAATGTAGTAACATTAATGTAATGCACATTTACGATTCGATACGATAAAGGGGTTCTGGTACCCGATTCCAAAAAATATCGTTTGAAAACTACGAGTAAAAAGTATCGGTATCGAATGGCAAAAATATCGGCATGGTATCATATCGTATCGAAATTCGTGTCCCTACCTGTACGACCTTGTGACAACTCACACAATTCTTAAATGTATCTAACAAATACAGATTGCAATAAAAATAGGATTAAAAGATATTTTACAAAATTTACACACGTACATATGTACATATGTATGTAGCAGAGCTGGTCACTTTATGATTACGATTACATTTTGATTACTTAGGATTACGATTAATAATAATAATAGATTGGCGCTAACACATGTGTTAGTGTTTGGCCGAGCTTCTCCTCCAATTTGTGGCGTGCGCCTTGATGTTGTCACACAAAGTGGAGGGACATAACATGTTTGAGTGCGAATACCTTAATTACCTTACCTTAAAATCCTTAAAACTTAACTATTACGACTACTGTAATCGTAATCGTACTTTTTATGATTACGGTTATAGTAATCGCAATCCTAAAAATTTTAAGATTACAATTACCGTAATTGTATTCATGAAAATTAGGATTGCGATTTCAGGAGTCGTAATCATTAAAATTTTAGGATTACAATTATAGTAATCGCAATAAAGCTATTCAAGATTACGATTACAGTAATCGAGAAATTTATTTTGCTTTGAGCAAATATTAATTTTTATTTACGAAAATGGTTTAAGTTATGAATTCGCATATTTGTTTGAAATTGTGTTAATAATCTACACAGACTCGTGGTCGCACTATTTCCAATAAAGTTTGATTTTGATTAACTGTCCGCCTTGATGTTGTCACACAAAGGGGAGGGACCTACAATTTTACGCCGACCCGAAAGGCTATTGTATTTTTAGGAGAAGCTGGTTTTCATGACTGAAATAAGCCCAAAATACAATAGCGCTATGGCAGTGGCAGTGACAGTTTTTAAAATCAGCTGTTACTGCTAATATTGGCAGTCACTGCCCCAGCAAACACAATACGGCGTTGTCAGTGACTGCTTTTTTTGACATTCCCTTTTGTTTGTTTACATTTTTGTTGTTGCCTTTTAGGCTTCAGTGACATAAACAGAAGTTGGCTGCATTTCATTTATGTCAAGTTCAACATGCGAAGTTCGCTGCGATGGAGGCAGTGGCAGTGAATTTAGAATTTGGGCTAAACCGAGCAGTACTGCCAGCTGCCACCAGTGTTGCCGCGAAACATTTTTAGCGGTAGCTAAATTCAGGCTAAAAAAGGGCTAAAAAAGAGCTAAAAATCGTCGTTGTGGCTAAAAATGGTAGCTAAATTTTTTTACCTACATATAAATATATAAGTATACACGCAAACATTTTCTATAAGTAATGATATAGAAAAACAATGAACTCTGGAAAGAATTAATATTTTATTCAACAAATAAACTTGTTGTGTAACACATAAAGCATATTAAGGGCCGCCAACTTACCTATTTTAAAGTATAGTTAAATCGTTAATGGATAAGATAACGGCCCAGAAACGTAAAAAACATACATATACATATGTATGTACAGTTTAAAAATTAATTTCTTACATAAACAAAAAAATGAGATCACATTAAGAATACATAAGTACTAGAATCATATCTATATACAGTGTCGGACAATACTAAATAACTTAAATAATTTCAAACTATGCTTCGAAAAATATCCATTTGTAAAAGAAATTTTTAAAATGTTATGTTATAATTTACAAAGAATTAAAATGTCGGTGCTTTATTATTGTCCGACGCTGTATGTATCAAACAAACAAAAGAGTATTCATTTAATGAACTCATAGTAAAATAATTTAATCTATAAACATTTTTTTTAACACATTAAATATTTATATCAATACCAATACTATCATCGCTAAGCGATTCTTCGTCGTTACAATTTTGTTCATTTCTCATTAACCTGACGATATCATCTGTAATTTCAAAATCATGACAACATTTCTGTACATTTTTTAAGCCATATCTTACAGTTAATAAAGCGTTTAACATTGCAAAATTCATTTTATTTCTGTGCTTATTTTTAACGAAATTTATTATAGAAAACGTCCTTTCAACTTCTGCGTTACTTAAAGGTAAAAGAAGCAACCGATAAACAAACTTTTTCCACCACTTAAGCTAGCGACACAATGAACAGTTTATTTGCCTTAAAGGAAAGGCGTTCGCTTTATGAGCGAAGAGTTAAATTCATGAAAATCATATAAAAAATTTCAATGTCAATGATGAATAAATTTTGAAAAGGGCTAAAAAAAGGGCTAGGGGCAATTTCAAATTTTTGTGGCCAAAAAAAGAATTTGGTAGCCAAATTTAGCCACCAAAGGGCTAAAACGGCAACACTGGCTGCCACTGCTGTATTGTGAGTCGCTTCATTGGATACCACACTTTCTAAAAAACAGCTGATTTCGAAAAACTGCCATTGCCACTGCGTATTGTATTTTGGGCTATACACTCGGTGGTTTGCCATTGCCTGCCGAGGGGCGACCGCTATTAGAAAACAAGTTTTTCTTTTCTATTTATTGATAACCACAACACCACAGAGGCCGCTGTGTCCCTGTATTACTTCAAATTTAAATAAATTGTACATACTTTTCGATGAAAGTTCCGCTCATTAACGTAACCAAATACTAAACCTCTACAGAAAATTAAAAAATCTCAATCAAAATTTTCTTAATTACGAGTACATTAATTGTAATCATGATATTTTTAGTATTACAATTAAAGTATGCGTAATCGTAATTTTCATGATTAAAATTACTGTAATTGTATTCTTATAATTTTAAAGCGCAAACAGTCAACGACGTAGCGTAGACGTAGGTTGACGCAGACACGATCTAGCTCATGGGATTCGCGTGTTAACGAAAACTCACCACCGCATGGCAGTGACGTTGCCGTTGCTTCTCTCTCTCTCTATCAAAAGTAAATTTTATATGCTGCTACGTACGTCAACCTACATTTACGCTACGTCGTTGACTAACTGAGCTTTTAAGGATTACAATTACGGTATTCGTAATCATGGTTTTCATGATTACGATTACAGTAATCTAAGTCATTAAATTTTTAAGATTACAATTATTATAATCATAATGGTAACATTTATGATTACAACTAACGTAATAGTATTCGTATACAATTTAAGGATTGCAATTAAGCAATCGTAATTGAAATGTAGTTATAATCAAAAATTACCCAGCTCTGATAAGGGGATATATTTATACAATAGACTAACCTATATGATTCTTATTAATTGTGATTCTTGAGTTGTCGTCGCGTTTCCATTTGATGATCGGACGTGGACTACCGGTTGCTCGGCAACGCAAAGAAATGTTGGAACCTTCACGTACTATTACGTCACTGGAGCTAAGCGAGTCATCGATATTGGGCGGAACTGTTTTGAAATAAAATTGTTGTTATAAATACATAACTTCGTATCTTATAGAACAGAATATTGAAATCACTTCATTTTAAAATCTTATATCTAAAATTTTTTTCTAAACACGTCCTTGTTAAAATTAGGAAAGTATACATATAACTATACGATTTTTTGCAAGATATGGCTTCTAGTTATTGGGGCATCTAAGTGAATAATATAAAGTCCAAAAAATCATTGTCGTTACGTACATTTCCACTACTTTATCCTTAAAAAAGAAGAAAAGAGTTTAATGACGCGATCAAGTGGGCTTCAAGTTTTTTTTATATCGTCGGTGTATGTGTTGACGGCGAATGGGGCTCGTAAATATAGTGGACGGAGAAGGAAACGCGCAGTGTGCGGTTATCTGTAGTGGGATTCGCCATTCTATTTTGACGATTATCGAATCGTTAAGAAAACTTAACGACGGTTTTAACGATTTGACAATTCGCTAACAGCTGTTGTCGTTAACTACTCGATTACTCGTTAAGTAAACGGCGAATATTTTGAAGTTGTTAGCGGCATCGACAAAAGAAAATTTGATATTTCATTTGAGTTAAAATTAAGTAATATAGATCGCGAGTTTACTTAAATAATATATAAAAGAAAAACTTTTTGTAAAAATGGCATTTGAGTATTTGGCATACGTTTTATCCCAAGATGAGGAGATAATAAGCCCTTCATCAGTGGATAGACGTTTGCTTCGTGAAGTGAACAACCCTTTCCACTTGACTGCAACTGAGTTTCGTGACCTTTACCGATTAACCGCAGACTTGGTTGATGATATTGTTTCCCAGCTTGATAGCCAATTAAGGGGTCGAATAATAACTGCGATAATGACAGAGAAACAGGTAAATAATGTAATTTTCAAGTATTTTTCAATTTTAAATACTTTTGTAAATTTTGAAGGTTCTAACTGCCTTGCGATTCTTCGCAACTGGCTGTTATCAACGTCCCGTCGGGAGCAATGGGGGATATCCATGAGCCAGTCGTCCGTAAGTCGCTCTTTACATCGCGTAACGGATCCATGACCCAAATAGAGCGGCAAGCTGCAAAAGAAATTTTCGCCTCAGCATCCGCACCATTTGTAGAAGGTACTATTGGGGCTATCGATTGCACCCATGTGTCCATCATGAGCCAAAAAAATCATGAAGAAGCGTATGCCAACCACCATGGATACCATTCTATCAATGTGCAAATGGTAAGAGTAGAATTTGCTCAAGGGTTAAACTACTGAGAATTAATTTTATTTTATACAAATATAGATATGTCATCCAAATTTAAAGATTTTGGCTGTCAGTGCAAATACCCAGGAGCGCGGCACGATTCATTTATTTGGAGCTCCTCTGCAGTCCGGAGAGTTATGCAGCGAAGTTTTGAAAATGGAAACCATAACATGTTTTTGATTGGCACCTTTTTAAATCCACTGAAACTTATTTATTAAAATCAATTTAATTGAAAATGTTGAATATATATTTGCAGATGACTCAGCATATCCTTTGGAACCGTGGTTGATGACTCGTCTACCAAACCAACCAAAGGGAGTCCTAAATTCCGCTACAATGAGCAAAGCTCGAAACCCAGTCGAGAGACTTTTTGGCATTCTCAAAAAAACTAGTCGATGCTTATCTCGGCAAAGGACTCTTTCGTATGATCCTGGATTTACGGGAAAAGTAGTAAATGCATGCAAAGTGTTGCATAACTTGACCAAACATACGATCCCGGGACTGAGATCCTAGAGCCAAGGACAAATAGCAGTAATGTAAATCAAGACGCGCCGTCTTCAACAGCAAAACGCGTCCAAGACCGGCTAATTGCAAATTATTTCACATGAATAAAACGCTGATAAATAAAAATTCAGAAGGAATACAATAAAATTATTTTGGCATTTTATTAAACATTTTTATGTAAATAAAAACTGTGGTATCAATAACTTCAGTCTTGTTTTGTCTTTAATTTGAGTAAATTTTTTTAAGTCTAACTTTTTAACTTAACTCTAACATAAATACAAAAAAAAAAGAACTTCATGCTTTATCAAATGAAAACTTAGCTCTAACATAAATATAAAAACAAAAAAGAAATTCAACTTATATTTAAAACGCATAAAACTAACATAAATATTAAAACAAAAAATACCTTCAAAAACTACATATTTACACAATATTTACATGCGGTAGATAGCGTTTGTTAAATTATTAAAGGCCTCCGCACATGCCTTTAAACCTTCCCCCATTGTGGCTATAGCTTCGGATAACGATTTCGTTACCTGCACACTCGCCGTACTTGTTTCAGCTAACAACTGTTGAAAGAGCATAAGAATGTAATACTATTTTTTAGTATGTAAAAAAATTACCTTCAAATCATCCGCTTGTCTACTTGCTATTTGTACATTCGCTGCACTCGACTCTGCTAGCGTCTGTTGAAAAAGAACCGAACAAATTATGTCAAAATATTTTACTTTTGTAAAGTTACAAATAAGTAAATAACTTTTAAGGCATTTGCTTGGGTCTGAGCCATTTCCAAATATGTTTTTTGGGCCTCGGCCTTCTTTTTGAACCTCTACGTGGCGGTTTTCCTGCAGGAGTTATAGGAGTCGATGTGCGCATCTCAATGCTCACACTTTCAGCAACAGTTCCATGGCACTGCAAATAGTCGCTACCGACAAGGGCAATCACACGCCTCTCAAGCTCAGTGAGTGGTTCTTCATTAATGGGATTGTTTCCCGTCATAGCCGACTTTCTTTTTCTATCACGCACCTTAATGCTAGTACGGCTCTTCAAATCCCTCCATACCTTTTTGCAAAACAAAATTTTAAACGTGGTATTAAATTACTAAACAATTTTTACATACTGTGCGCCATTGGTCGACGTTCTTCACCGCACCGCCAAGGCTATTCACCATACCATTAACGCTAGTTCATTCCACTTCTTGTCGCAGTCCGATTTTCCATGAAGCTTCTGGAACCTTGATCCTGCCAATCCCGGCGTTTCCGTCAAAAAGTCCACCATGCGACTTAGTTGTTCTGCTGTGGTCCGGCTTCTCTTTTGAACACTGACGAAGCCATTCTTTAATATGCGAAAATGGTTATGTCTAATAATACAAAGTAAATAAACGTTTTATTTTACTTACTTTTTGTAAAAATATATTAAAATATCCAGAAAAATATGTGCATACCACTTTGCAAGCAAGGAATTTATTTGTTTTTCGTCTTTCTTTGTGTTCTTCGCATTTTTTGACGTTTCGTTAAGCTGTGATGCCACCTTTCTTTTATTTAAATAAAAAGAAAATGTCAGCTGTTTAGTGTCGTTAAAAAAGAGTTACCGAATAACACAATCGTTACTGCAAATCGATTTATAATAATACTGTTATAGGCGCAAAAATATGCATCGCCGGAGAGAACGGTTTACCCTATTTCAGACTGCATCATTAGCTTTTTAAGCTTTCTGCACGCCTTCATAATTTTTTTTTTTTGTTTCCAAAGGAAATTTTTTAGGGGTTTTATCGGAAAAATGTCGTTGCAGGGTTGTCCTAAATGCCTCAAGGCCTTAACGTTTATGGACATACCAAACCCTAAAAAAATAAGTCTTGAAGGCTATTAGTTTGAAAATCCGAAAGTATCTAGTAGTATAATAATTGCACAGGCATACAAAAAAATTGGTGAGAACCAGAGGGTAGACCGCACAGTTTCTAGGTTTTTGGAGTCGCTGAAAAAATTACTACCCAAATGAATAAGACGTCTCCCTCACTTAATAGAGCCCCCTACCACACCCTGAAGAGGGTTAAATTTTCGACTTAAAGCCCCTTCAGGGTGTAGCAACGCTTTTATCCACTTGCAATGTTGTATGTCCAGACACCATTTTTAGCTATAATTATAGATTATAATCAAAGTTCCTATACAAAAGTCTAGACATCAACCTCGACGGTGGACTTATATGTAAACCTATTATTAGGTGATTGTTACATATATACACATGTAGGTTAGGTTAGAAAGTAAACAATGATTTCACTAAATTTTTATTCATTTTACTGATTTAAAGTTTTTTTATTCATTTGCATTTTTAATTCTTTTAATAGTGTTTTGTGGACGGCAAGCCTTTTTACCGAAAAGTGGCAATTACAATAAAAATACAACGAAATGACCGAAAGCTAGTACAAAATAAGCAAGTTTATTAAAGCCTATGCCTTTTTGCTTCAAGATCGCAGATGGAATGAATATTTCATTCTTCTCCTTAAAATTAGTTTTCAACTTATTGCAATCATTACACAAAACCATATATATTTACGCATGTGTGTACATCAGAGGCAGGCATTTTTTATTACCTTCCTTTTATTAGCTCGGGATGTAACTATGTAATATTGATGCGTCTAAAAGATGCAGCGATTTCTATTCTCAAGTTACATACCTGATAACAGTACGAATGGCAATTATAATAGGGAGGTTTTAGTTTTTTAAACTATAATTTTGTTGATTTTCCAAACACATATAATTGGGCTTCAAAATGCTGCTTGCTGCGACGTCGACACATGTATACTATCATCTTCTTCGTGCGTCTTCAGTGATCGGAGTTCTACCGCATTGTGGTAGATCTACTTTTTTGAGCATCCACCACATCTACCACACAAGGTCTGAAATCTACCACATATTCGCATTTTTGAGAAGTAATAATTAAGCTCCACGTGATTTTCCTTATTTTTTTTTAATTCTAAGAGCAAAAATTGTCGCAACACTAAATACTATGTGATAACAAGTAGGGACACGATATCGAACCGAAAGTATCGATATAATACTCATTTAAAGTATCGCTGTAACAATATCGGGTACCCATTAATAGAGTAATAAAAAGACTCGATATTCCAAATATCGCTACAAAATTCAAAATATTGCAACCTAAGATAGTACACATTTCTGCGCTTTAAAGCGCAAATATATCCATATTGCTTTACATATAAATTCCAAAGTAAGTAAGAAGGTTATAGTA